GAGACCACTAAGAGACAGGAGGGGATGGGAGAGCACTAAGGAACTAGGAGGGAAGGGGAGAGTTTTCAGGGACAGGATGGGAGACCACTAAGGGACAGGGGGAGAAGAGGAGACCACTAAGGGACAGGGGGAGGAGATTTGACCGCTAAGGGACAGGGGGGGGGGGGGGGGGGGGAAGAGATCATTAAGGGATGGTAAGAGTGTAAGACACACAGAGAGGCTGAGGAAGGGGTAAAAGAGAAGAGAAAAAATATACAAAATAATTATATTAACAAAATAAATATAATAATAAAAATAAAGAGCTGTTCTCTTCTCAGCCCCTATCCTACCCCCAGAAACCTTCTCTTTCACACTACACACATACACAATGCATCCTTACACATACACAAACTCAGAAACACACCATGCTTCCCTTACTTACACATAATTCATCCCTTACATACACACAAGGCATCCCTCTCTACACACACAATTCATCACACACACACACACACGCACACCTTGCATCCCTTACACATACAAACACAGATTCACTCAATGCATACCTTACACACAAACACACACTGCTTTCTATCCCTTACACGCAATCACACTGCATCCCCTATACACAAACTGGTATTCCTATACACTACATTCCATAAGAACACAAACACATTAAATCCTCAACAATAACACATAACACATCCCCTACACACATACACTCCACTCCCTGTGAGAGAACTCATGGGTGGGCCTTGTAGGCATAAGGTTTATCGGCGGGCCTTGTAGGTATACTCACGGTCAGGCACTGGGCCCAGACTGTGATCTGTGTAAGGGGCCCCCAAAAAATTATTTTTGTGAGCACTGTTACAAGAGAGCCAAAGAACCTGTTTTAACACCAGACCAGTGGAGACAGACTGCAGCCTGAATCATCATCCTATTGTCCTCATCTGGTTGTAAGTAGGCAAACCAGTATATTATTAGTGGCACTAATCTCTAATTTACCTCACATTAAAGGGACACTATAGTCCCCAGAACCACTGCAGCTTAATGTAGTGGTTCTGGTGTCTATAGCCTGTCTCTGCAGGCTTTTTGCTGTAAACACACTGCCTTTTCAGATAAAAGACACTGTGTGCAGAACTGGCAGATCATATGGGTGGGGTATTGTGATGTCACATGGTGGGCAGAGCATATGGGGGGCGGCAAATTTTTGTTTGACTAGGGCGGCAAATATCCTTGCACCGGCCCTGTTCATGAATGAAGAGGAGGAAACATAACATAGAGAGACACATATATGTCATGAAGGTCATCAAGCTTTCCTTTGGACGTGAGCCGCAGATTTTTAGAACCTAGCAATCCCTTTGCCAATAGTTAATGAGCTGTTTGGAAAAAAACTTGGGCTCTCCTCCGGTACCCAAATTCTGGCCTCTCAGCTACCACAGAGATAATGTGGAGGTTCTATTTGCATATTATCAAACCATCACCATTTCGAATTTAATGAGTAATGAAAGTATTGGGATAACCTGCCTCCTTTGCTGACAACATATCATTGCCCTCAAAAGTTAAACAGCCTTGGATGATTATTGTGGAAGTGCAAAAGCGGAGCTGAATTTGGGCAACAGATAAGGGTCTATTTACTAAATTACAAGTTACTAGCTAGACATTTGAGGCTAAAATAGCCAAAGTGTGATTTAGAGACATTTTTCCAACTCAACACTTTTTGCCCAAATTTTGACATGTGAATTTCAGCTGGCTAGAATCCAGTGTTTAGGGAATACACCTGCTTGTGTTTATTAAAATCCCATGGAGTTAACTCTTTGAGGCAGTTGAGGTTGAATGGTTGAACAACTGTAAGCGCCATAACTTGCACACACGCATTTAAATGGATGTGAATACTGGAACACAATCAAATTGGCTTAGCTATAGTTTTTTTTTTTATAAATCAACTAATTTGTTTTACATGTGGCAGTATTTTTTACCAACGTGCGTCAACACACTGTTTAGGAAGTGGGTTGAGAAATGCCCCCATGGCCCTCAAAGAGTTAAAGGAAGTCTTTTGTAGCTTAGAGGGCAACTTCCACAATATACATCAAAGGAAAATAAATACATACTGTTGTCTTATCACAGAGGCTCAGATAGTAAACAGAGAAAAAGCCAGCTAATACCCTTTCCCTTCAACTGGTGAATGAAGAGTAAGTCTTTGATGCTGCATCTGTGACCACTTCCAATACCGCATCGTGCATTGTTCAGGATAAGGTTGGTATCACACTTACCACTTTGCCTGTCTCCAATTCTCCATGTGAATTTTAAATTGCACAAGTGTGGGGTGTAGTTAATCTTCTCTGTTTGCGTTGTCAGCTATTGTGTATAAGTAAGTGCCTGCTGGCAGAGCTAAGTAGCATTAAGTCCAAATAAAGGAATCTCCAGCTTTCCAAGGAACGTTGGTTTATATAATAAACTCTTAGCTCACTTTGGAAATGTTTATTTTTTGATATAGTAATACAGAGAGGGCAACCGGACTGCCACAGCTTCCCTGCAACCCTCATTGCCGACATTCGCTCAGGGACTGGACTCAGCTCCGAATTCGACCGTTTCCATAGTATTAACCATCACAGCAGTACAATAAAGTAAGAAAGAGCTAATGCGTTGGGTTCCACCTGGTAAATGTAATATATATTATAAATAAAGGTTTTTTAAAAAAATGAAAACAGTCAGTATTTAATTTTACCTTTTCCCCCCCTTTCTCTATATTTGTTACCTTTTTTGTTACCTAATCTGTCACTTGTATGGGGATTGATTAAAAGGCAACGTAGTGTATATATTAAAGGGACACTATAGGCACCAAGACCTCTTCAGCTCATTGAGGTGGTTAGGTGGTTTTGGTCGCCTGGCCCTGGATGTCCTCACACTCTGCATAAGTCAAATCCCCAGTGGAAAGCATTGCAACATTGCTTTTCTATGGGTAGGGCCTAATGCGCTCGTGGTGTTCGACAATTTTGAGTTCCAGGCAATTCTCACTTTTGTAAATAACCCTAAAAGTGTTTCTCTCTCTAATACATATATTATCTAAAAGATTTGTTAAAACTTACAACCAAGAAGGTTTTAAACAGGTCCTATAGTTGGCACCTTAACCAACTAAGCGATACTGCGTCAACTGTCACCGGTATCTACTGATATATCAATGTAAAATCACAGTTCTACTTACGGTGGGCTGGAGGGGAATTATTGACTGATTTGCATCCATCATTGGATTCATTGTTCCATAGCATTGAACACATTTAGGTTGCAGTTGAGATGACACCTTTAACACAGATAACTGTTCAGGATTAGTTTCATCCCATTAGTACAATCTACTCATTGACCTACTCCTGGTTTATGGCTCACGCCTCCGCAAATGATGTTTATCTGACCTTTCTCCTCTTCTACTGGGTAAAGTACAATCCAACTCAGGATTCCAGTAAACTCCTTTTCTGAAAAAAAACACATCAGTTTGGGTGGAACTTGTAGATACAGTGAGAAATTGGTAATTAATAACCCCATTAAACCATAAACGATGAGCAAAAGTCAAGAGGGGGACAAGAAGATTTGCAAGAATAGAAATTGCACCAACTTGTTATACATAGACAAAATGTGTACAGATTTTTTGTAAACTAAATGGAGTTTCTGTGACTGTTTATATTAAGAGTTCTTTTAAAATGATTTTTATGAAATAATTTTTACAATTTTTTTTACAAACAATAATAACAATAAAAAAATAATAATTAAATAAATAAGTAAAAAAACAGGGAAGAGGGAAAAACGGGAAGGTAAGTTCAACCTAGATGGTATAACCATACATTATTTATATGCTTATATATTATAACATAAAATGGTAATTTGGATATATTGATACAAATAATTATAACAAAATCTAACAACAGAAAATATAGAGTATGGTTTAAGAGTCCAAATTTACAAACGGTATGTTTTTCTCGCAGTATCTTCCCACTTTGTCCAATGATATTTAAGCTGGTTTAATAAATGATGAAAGCTGTCTATGAGCCATTTCATATTTTTTGTTCTTCATTATTAAATGTACAACCTCTCTTTTCTGAGAAAAAAACAAAGATCCCTGTAAAAAATGTGTTTATTTTGTTCTCGATGGGATGTGCCTGGACCACTGACATCACAATAGATTTTGAGCAGCGTGCAGTTGTCAGTGGAGTACCAATCCCAGGTGTCATTTGGTGATCTAGTGGGGGCTCAAAGCAAGGTATAGTCATCAGAAATCGACAGAAAAACATAGTTTTCCCTATTTTGTACCCAACATATGCCATTACATAAGGAAGCTATTCAATTTATTTTTTAGGCTGACCCCTCCCCCCAAAAAGGTATTACAGTTTTCTGACAGATACCCTCTTTAGGGCGAAAAACCTCTAGCCCAAATGTTGGTGATAACTGCTCATTGCCCTCAGCAATGACGCATTACTGATTCCCATGTACCTACTCTGAGCAAGAAGTCCCTATTTAGATTGGCCTTTTAGACTTAAGGAGACCCTTAGACTTAGGGATACCCCGTGAATATGCAGATCACCAGCATATAAACAAAATCCATTTGCACTAGACTTGTGCATTCAGTTTGAAATGAATTAGCGATTTGTGCACATTTTGTGCAATCATCAATGCTTCCAAACTCCATAACTCAAAAATTCTATATGGATGAATCATTACAAACCAAACAGCCCATGGCACAAAAAAAGATGACTGAGGGAAAAAAAAAAGATGATTGGATTAGTGGACAGCCACTAAATGTTGAGTTTATGAAAAGATCAAGTACGTATTGACCAATAGAGAGAAAAAAAGGAGCAGTAAAAAAAAAAAGCTATTTTATATTTAATAAATATATAATATATCAATTTTGAATTATGATAATTTTTTTCTCACATGGGTTTAATATTTTTGGATAAGCTTTCCAAATTATTTAATATTTTGGATAAACGTTTAAAATTCTTTTAAAAACTATTAAAAAATATATATAAAATAATTAAAACATTTTATGCAAAAATATTAAATCATTTCAGAAGCTTATACAAAAATATTAACTTTGAACCTTGATATGCAAAAACAAATGGTGATAAAATGTGCCTGTATTTATATTATTTATATATTTTGCAGTACACTGATTGGCCCATTTTCATGCCTTTTTGGTTCATTTTCCTGAAATTATTTGCCCAAACTGAAAGCCAAACGGATGAGTCCCAAATCGACAGACATGAATGTTTTTTTCAGACTAATCGATTTGGCCAAACTGATTTTTTTTCACAATGCAGAACTCGAATTAACAAACTTATCCAGCAAAATAAAACAGGAGATGTGTGGACCTAGGACAATAACCCTCTCACTGCTTGCTGCTTTAGAGTCATGTTGGATTGCAGAGAAGGCACATGCTCCATTCAACACTTCAGTGAGGATAAGCAATTGCAGTGCCTACAGCATCCCTCTCAGTTGAACTATATGGGACAGCCCAATTAAAAGCATTAATGTGTGCACTCTTTTAAATTAGATCCTGTTTTTATTTCATTAGAACCTTGAAATGTGTGGGTCTGAATCTAGAAAAATGATTTTGGCATTTTGGACAGGTATTCAATTGGCCTTATGATATGCAGTTACTACCTTTCTGCAGAGTTTAGAATTTACGTCAACCTACATTCAAATTCCATGGGATGAAAATCCTTTATTATGT